CTTCGCTCGTCGATGGAACCCCGCCGGTTGCTGATAGCATATTGGTGTTGTACCGCATAGGGGTCGAAGAATGAAGCCAGTAAAAAAACAATCGTCTTTGTCTGGTGTCTCGCAAAGTCCGTCCGGAGCTAGCCTAGCACGAAAGTACGACGATAGGCCCTGGATAAGGGGTGATGCATTCGCGTGTTTTAATGCTGTTTTGTAGAACGCAAAGACTTCCCCCAGACTCCACTTACTCATGGCATATGCAAGCGAGCTTCACGTTGATCACTGCAATTGTAGTTTAACTGCGGTGGAGGTGACCTTTTTATACAGGGTCCCATCTACCGAACTTGTGTCTGTTGAGGACGATAACCTCTTTGATGGCAGTACGACACGATAAGTGGTGACGTTCTTGATGTCGCTGCCCTCCTTTGCTGGTGCAGCCGCACGGGCTACGTCGGTGAGGGCAAGAAGGCCTTCCTGCGGCTGAAGCGCGAGGTGCTGGACATGATCTTGCTGCGCCGCACCAAGAGCAACAGGTCCAACGACATCTGCCTGCCTCCGCGCATCGTCAGGGTTAGGCAGCACCGCCTTGACGAGCGGGAAGAGGTGGGTTCATGACGGTTACACGTACCTCTTGACCGTTGTTGTTGTGGACGACTCAGGCTCCTTCCGTAGACGATGTGGCAGATGGGTACCGTACCGTTATTGTTTTTTTAGCATCGCCGTTGCCATTACCGTCGGCGCGGCCTCTACCGCTGTGTTTCTCCATCCAATGCGGTGTCAAGGCCGTTTTTCTCTGGCTCTACCCTGTGCCAGTTAGTCTGTATCCCCCGGCTCCGCGACTGGCAATGTATCTTGTGTTGTCAAGACAGTGTACAACGACTACTTCTAGGTGGGCTATTCCAAATTCCGCAAACGCCCCCTTTGAATAATTCAGCCGCACCTCTGCTTGATGGTTGGGACGAGGAGCGGTATAATGCTGTCGTCTTTGACAACGCGGCGTCCGCTTTCAACGTCTTGGCTGCTTAACTGGCTAGTTTAGTCCGTGTGAGAGCGTGGTGCATATTCGACATTTCCCCCTCCCCAACCTCACCTGTCTGCATGGTTGAACATGTCTTCGAATTGTGTGCTCATGTTGGCAGCATCCCATCCAGTAGCCCTCAAACCGTTACGTTCGGTTGCTTTTCTGCTTGGCAGGACTTCTACCAAGCCCTCTACACGCAGTCGCAGGCCCAGTTCGACACCTATGTGGGCTCGGGGACAATCCTCAACAACTACGCGCACATCTTCGACGTGAGCTGTCAAAGCTCTTCCACGGCTTTGACTGACTTGACTGCTGTTGCGATCGAAATAGTATCGAGACGGCGTATGTTAATTTTGTGCGATCGCTTTCGGTGTCGTTGATCGGGGGCACCGTAGATTTCAACCCTTGTGCCTTACGTCGGGGTTGACTGTTTTGTTGGTCGTGTGCGCTGTAACGTGGTAGCGTGTGCTCGTGGATGGATGACGGCAAGACGCACCGAACCATTCCTCTTGCCGTTGCCGTTTTTCGGCAGGGCACACATGTCGCACCGCGACCACCCCTATTTTGTTTCGTTTTGGTGAAACCGCCTCCCACAGTATGGGAGAGGCCGGTACGTGTGTACTTCCCTCCCTCTTTGATAAAAGGGTACATGAGTATCACATCACTGCTGTTGAATCACTTTTATCTTATCATGTGGCATAGCCACGGTCGGTGTCTAACGAAGGCGTCGGAATGGATACCGTTTTGCCACACGCAGACTGCGATTTCACCTCATTTATTATCCCGAAGTTCAATGAAGTCCTTCGCACAAGGGTCTGCATATGACATGCAAGCTGATGTGCGTCGAGCTTGCTTCAATCTTGTCCTGAAAACAAAGCGAGAAACAGCGATTCCAAGAGGATCGGAAGCTTGGTTTTCGGTTTGAAGTTGCGATTAACACCGTGCCCCCCCCCCCTCGTACGTACCTTCTCCCCAGATCCTCATTCGCTTGCGGCAGGCCGTCGACCACCCCTACCTCGTCATTTACAGCGCCACGAAGCGAGAGGGCATGACGCCGGCGATGAACTCCGCGGCCGGTCAAAACCCGACCCCGGCCCCCGCTCCCCCGGCAGAAACGACCCCGCGGGGGTCTCAATCTCGCACCTCTCGCTCGTCGACCGCGCAAGCCAACGGGGCCGCTACGCCCAACGGCGGCCGGTCAAGCCGCTCTTCGTCTTCAAGGACGGCAACCGCCGGCACGCGGGCTGATAACCTCGGCGACACTTCGTCGGATTCGGAGTCATCGGACGCTGAGGGCGGCGGCAAGGCTGCTGGCGCGCAGAACGGTGCCGGCGCTGGAGGCCGGGCGGGGGCGCAAGAGTACGACAGCGACGAGGAGGAGGAGTCGGACCTGTGTGGGATCTGCCGCGAGCCGGCGGAGAGGCTCGTGTCGTCGTCGTGCGGGCACTCGTTCTGCCGCACGTGGTGAGTATGTTGACTTGTTGTGCTATGCCCTGTACTGCTGTTGTGGGGTGCACGAAATGATCTTTGTTGTGACGACGGTGAGATTTATTTTTGTCTTGTTCGCTCGGTCGAATTTTCGCTTTGTGGTTCTGCTGTTCGAATGAAATTGGGCGTGAAGGCGCTCGACTATCTCTTGCGTTAGTTGTTTTGGATTTGTTTGTTTTGTGTTCCCACCCGCCGCGGTCTTGGAAAGAACGTCTTCGGTTGCAGCTACAGCAGTGCTCAAAGCTAAACGAAACATTTTTTTGAACGGTTCCAAATCATCAGACGTTTTGTATAAATCCAATTACCTAGCTCATCTTTGATTCTGTTTTGATACCAATCCCTTCCATCTTGAACCTATAGCGTTCAAGAGCTGATCGACGCGGCACCGGGCGACGTCGAATGCCCCACCTGCTCCCAACCCCTTACCGTGGACCTCTCGGGAGGGAGCCCAGGGGCTGAGGGAGACGACGACGACCAAGAGGCCGCCCAACGCAGCAGCGGCGGTGGCCGCGGGCGAGGTCGTGGCCGGGGAGGAGCCGCTGCACGAGGCAGGAGCAGGAGCGGCGGCGGCGGCGGCGGCGGCGGGGGGGCGGCTAAGTCTAGGGTGGCGGGGGCGATGGCGGCTCTGGAAGCGAGCATGAAGAAGAAGAAGACCCAGACGATGAAGCCCGCCGCGTCCGGAGGGGGCGGGGTGAAGCGCAGCGTGACGAAGCACAGCGTTATCAACCGCATCGACCTCAACAAGTTCCAGTCGGTGAGCGAGGACGATACATACCGAGCAAGCAAGCAAACAACCCCCAGGCAGTCGGTTCATGCCTTCTTTTGTGGGACAGGTTTTGTCTAGGCAGTCGATGCATGCCTTCTTTTGTGGAACAGCTTAGGGAAAACAACATCAGGGTTGTACTAATTATAAGCGTAGGGCGTTGACGGGTTGGGGCAGAGCACCGATAAAGAGGGCGGTACACATCGGCGGTGCGCTTTGGCGGGGAAAATAATCGCTAGGAAGGCGGTCTACGCTGTTTTCAGGCTTCCTTCCTGTCATTCTGTCGTGAAGCCTTTCTTGTCGGGTGCACCTTACAATACCTGCGCGGTCCCGTTGGAGTGGTGGAGGTGCTTCCTCGATACCTTCGTTTTCAGGGATTTTGATGTTTTCCGTCTCCCGTCTAGTGCCTCCTTGGGCTGTGTGGCGTGCGGGTCTCGTTGTCCCGGCCTGGAGCCCCCCTATGGGCTTCACTGGCTTCACACCTACACAATGGCCGGTTTGCCGGAAGTATCGTGGTAACGTGTTTGTTCGGGCTTGTTCGTCGGATGTGCCGTACCGTGTTTGGTACTCCCTGTGTCGTTGTCGATAACAAGGTTTCTTACAGCACCCCCCCCCCCCTTTTTGTCTTGAATGTATATGCCTCGCCTACGTGTTTGTATCGCCGTTTCTGCGGCTGCAGTCTACGAAGATGGAGGCCCTGATGGAGGAGGTCCACCTCATGATGGAGCGGGACCCTGCCGCCAAGGCCATCGTCTTCTCCCAGGTGTGCACATGTTTTGTCGCCAACGGCCCTGGGCTAGTTTCAGCAACAGTGCAGGCGGTAGTTGCCTGCCTGTGGCAATCGCTCAGATCGTTACATGCGTGAACTTCATACGTCTTCTCGATCGTGCTGTCGATTAACGTTGCCTGTTTGAAGACTAACCGTGAACGTTGTTTTCTTTTTCCGTCTAGCCCTAGCTTACCGTGAACGCGCTCACCCAGTAGTGGGGGTCAACCATGGAAATTTCCTGGAGACCGAAAGATTTCGTCTTTTGTGCCATGTCCTTTCTTTTTCTGGTATTGGTTTGATGTTTTCCTCTGTCCGCTTTTTTGTTTGCCGCCAGTTCGTGAACATGCTGGATCTCATCGAGTTTCGCATGCACAAGGGGCAGGTCGGATGCCGCAAGCTGTCGGGGCATCTATCCGTCGACAAGCGTGAAGAGGTGAGTCTTTTCAGAACGAAGCCAGAAACAGTACTAGTACTGCTGTAGTTGCGGTTTTGGTTATGGTTTTGGTTTTGGTTGGTTGTGGTTGGATCAATGTCGTTCCATTTTCCTGGTGGTATGGACGCTCCTGCTCGGGGTTATAGACGATTGGGTTGTCGGAATCACTGTTGTATCTTCGTGGAAGTACGGCACCGGCTGTGAAGAGCGTGCCACCTACGTCCTTCCACTCCTCTAATATTCGCTGAACCCGTGCATGAAAACATGAACCTGCGTTTTTAGGTTCTTCAAGCGTTTCAAACCGACCCCGGAGTAAAGGTGCTCCTCATCAGCCTCAAGGCCGGAGGTGTGGCGCTTAACCTGACGGTCGCCAACCACATCTTCCTCATGGATCCGTGAGTGAATTTTGGAGAGTTGTACGTGTGTGTGTGTGGGTAATCGGTACGCTGTCGGTGCATGTTTGCACTCCGCCTTTGCTACAACGCCGCCCGCTTCTCCTTTGCCCTTTGATCAGGTGGTGGAACCCTGCAGCTGAAATGCAAGCAATCGACCGCACCCACCGGCTTGGGCAGTTCAAGCCCATCTACGCCACTCGCTTCATCATCGAGGACACTGTCGAGGAGCGCATCATCAAGCTACAGGTGACCGACCTTGCCCTCGTTCTTCCAGTCACAACGTATTTGATGGACTCTTCTTATGATACTATACTATAATACGTATTTCGTAGGAGTGTGAGTGCCCGTTGTCAAGGTTCAGCAAGCATCGGAAGCTGCCACCGGTCGGGTTGTTCTGTCCCACCTTGCGTGTGGTCCGTTACTCGTTCCGCTGTTTTGGGCAGGATGGCTCCGGTTTGAGTCGTCTCTGTTTTGGTGCGCACAGAGGACCCTCTCGGGAGGGAAAGTACCGTGCCTTTGGGCTCGTTCGTATCGCCTCTCTCGCACCTTATCTAGCGAGCAAGAAAAATCCTGCTCACCAGGGTTGCACGGCAGGATGCATGTGTTGGCCAGGAGTTTGAACATGCTGGTTTCCGAACGGAGGGCAGGAGAGTACCAAAGCCAAAATGACCTCAGCGGTTTACCACTAAAACTACTTTCACGGTGGACCGGGCCATCCAACTTGCTGGCCCGTAGCGCTCAACCGGACACCATGTGGCGAGCACCATCTCGATATAACAATAGCCCAAATTCTTCGAGGTTATTCCGTATTCTCGAACACTTGTGTTGCACCGTAAGACTAGCAAGAGAACCCGCTTCGTTCTTACCGTTGTCCCGAAACGATGCTCACAGATGGATCCCACTATCTAGAAGTCTGCACGGAGTGGCATGAAAAATGACCCTATTCCAGCATGCCGAACCTTCTCTGTCCCGCTACCGCCTGCATGGCTGGTGGTTGGTGGGTGACTGTTTTTTGTTGTAGGGTCAAGGTCTCTACAGAGCAATCTGAACTTGCAGGGAACCTGCGGTATTCGTTGGGGATAGGCTGAAAGTGCGGCCCACTCTCGAAACAAAGATGCAGATATGACCAGGGCGAATGCCACGCGCGCTTTTCAATGTCACATGACTCCCACATGACTCCCTACGGATTCACGGGTACAGATGAGGTAACTATTTGTGCTTCTTAACCTACATGTTGTAGGATTTGTCAGCGTCAAGTCCAGGAATCTCCACGCCCCAAAACAGATTTGACGGTTAATTGTGGGATAAAGATATGCTCAACGTGGCCAAACATGGGATATATGGCGTTTGGCGTTGGCAGAGTTCGATCGGACAATAGGGGGAAAAATATCGTACTGTGTGTTGCAACCTCTTCGAGCACATCAGGACGGGACCGTTCAAGGCCCACCCCTTAATGTTCCTATCCCAGAGGAGTTGCATGGTAGGCACGATCGATCGTGTCGGAACTATGTAGCCAATATGTGGTTTGCTGTTTATCGGTGCATTTCCTGGATCTTCACCCTTCCGCGAACACTGCTCGATGCCGCTCTGTTGTCGTGTTTCTGTCGTACAGTTGGTCGCTTGACGTAGTGCACGGAACGAACGTTACAACACGTTCTGGCGTTGCTCGGCGTGGCGATCTACCCGCCAATATTGAACCGTACGGATCACGCCAGAGCCTACCTCCCAGACTGCCAATGCGCGCCCTCGTTCATGGGGTACCGCGCACGATTGTGCCCAACCTCACTGCCCGAGCACGCTTATATTATCCACACCACGTGATGGAGCTGTCAAAAGAATGTTCATGCTTTCATCACACACGCCGTTGCAACCGTTTCGTGGTTTTCTTGGTGCCGACAGGAAAAGAAACAACTAGTGTTCGACAGCACTGTCGGGGGAGATGCCGCGTCGACGGGAAAGCTCACGGTCGACGATCTACGGTTCCTTTTTGCGCACTGAGAGGGACAGCGACAGTCGAAAGACGGCAGCTTGTTGCCCCACGTCCTTGTGCTAGGTAGTATCTGTTTCTTGTGTACAAATATCGTTCCGTTCTTTTGTCGTTGTAGGACAAATGCAGAGGAAGAGAAGAGAAGAGAAGAGAGAGAGAGAGAGAGAGAGAGAGAGAGAGAGAGAGAGAGAGAGAGAGAGAGAGAGAGAGAGAGAGAGAGAGAGAGAGAGAGAGAGAGAGAGAGAGAGACCCGGGCAAACTGTTCTCCGTCTTGTCTCTTATTGTGTGTTTCGACGTTGGTGCTGCACGTAGATCGAGACGCAGCCGGTCATGACATATTTTGACCTTTCCCTGGCATACAGCGTGTGTACGTACCAGTTAGTTATTTCACCAGTACCGCCAGGATTGTGGCTGGCCGAGTTCTCTCAACCACCGGTTTTCCTCTTTTTTTTTGCCGTCGGTTAGGTTGTTGAGGGGTGGATCGCGCAGACACCGCGAACGTGGCAAGGGCGTTTTAGTGCCTACCCGCCAGGGTTGATCAATGGTTCCTTATGTCGTCTAGTGGTCTTTTTTTGTACAACTCGCGCTTTGCTCGGCCGAAATCCATATCATCACCACCGCCGCTGCCTGAGCAGCCGGCCAAGCACTCACAGCAGCTGGTGGTATAGATAGGTATGGAGAGAGTGGAGCGGCGGGGGAAGGACCACAACAGAGGGAGTAAATTACTGCTTGTAGTGCCGGTTGGGTCCCAACGTGCTTGTAGACAAGTCCATTTCGTGATTTCCTACGCTACTTTGAGATGAAGGCCAATTGGTATTTATTGTTTGGATCCTCATTACCTTCTTCTTCATCACTGGTGGCGCTTTTTCTTTAGACTACAATACCGTCGTACAAAACTATTCGGAAAAATAAATAGACCTCGCCGCTAGTCGAACTTTGTCGGCGTCAACCCACAGCATCGGTGTTCATGCCCACGGGATGTGAAGACCTCCCCACAGGTACTAGACTACCTCTCTCCGCAGCGAACGCTGAATGAACACGAAACAAGTTGCCCCGATACTTTTGACTACAACTTTTTTGCAAACTGTAGCGAAGAGTATTGTAGTATGCAAAGTCAGTCTACAAGCAGAGCCGCAGTTTTTCCTCACAACGACTTTCGGTAAACATGCCTCAGTAGTGCGTCCTAAAGTACACGCAGAAGATAAACATAGCTTGGGAAATCCATGCGTGTGCCCGTGGAATATGGCCCTCGCTCCTCAAAACGGCGGTGTCTGCAGGTACGCAGGTAAAGGAGAGCCGACCTTGGTATTCACCAGACACCAGAGCTTAGTATTATGCAACCTGCACGTGCATACAACAAGTCTTTTGCACCGAGGGAAAAAATCTGAAAATTTATTGGTGAAACCTCCGAACTTTGTCACCAATCAACATGCTGCGCTGGGCTTTTTCTTCACTGACGCTGCGCTGCACAGCGCTGTTCATCCCCTCTAACAGCGCTAAGCCATCCAGCCATGGACAAGTACGCGCCAGCGTCCCACAATCCCATCCAAAAGCCAACGACTGCTGTAATCGCCCCTCGGTCGGGGCCTCAACAAGCCGGCGGCGGGCGCTGTTGCTCGGTGCCGTTGGCTGCATCGCGCGACTTCAAATCGGTGAGTTTTTCACAGAGACAGGGAGCGAGCCGCTACAAGTTGTTCTCCCTACAGCAGTAGCTCTCTCTCCCCCCGACGATCGTGTTACTCGTAGCAAGCCGTAGAAGCAGCTACGGTGATTGCGAGGATGCTCTGCTCCTGCCCGCCCGCAGGGTCCCCCGCGATACCGGGTGCATCCCATCTTGTTACTCCGGTTGTTGTTGTGGATAGGCTGTCCATATTTTTGTGCTGGTTGTGTTGCACGGCGAACTGCGGTTGCTCCACCTTTGGGGTCACTCCTATGTAGGACTGAACAGATGTGTCACCAGCCGTCAGGCTGCAGCACATGCCCTCGGAGGATTGCCTGGAAAGGGTAGTCTCTCCGGTGTGAGGCTATGTACAGACACCGGTACAGTTTTAGTTTCGTATCTCGACCATTCCTCCTCAACTACCCGCTGGGAGAGGTGATGGGATCAAGATCCGGCGGCGGTAGGCTGGTAGGCCGCCCCGCACATGGGATGTTATTACCGACTACCCATTACTGTAGCTTCAAGCGAGTCTGCGACCCTTCTGTGTTTGAAAAGTAGCGGGGCGCTCTTACAAAGACAAGCCCCGCTCGCCGGCAGTTCGTACCCCGCACTTGGTAGGTGGTGTCAGGCGAGCTCCTCCTCATTTGTCAGCTGCACCTCTGGCGGTAACAAGCACACAGCCCACGATTTTTTTGCACGCAAGAGGCAGACTCAGCGGGTACCCCAGACGGGAGTACCTGGTATGTAGGCTACACTGCAGGATCGCTGTATACCTTCAGCAATATCGCTTTATACCGTATTCCGTTCAAGATGACATC